GTAACAATTCTCATAGTCTGTAATCGAATAATAATAAACGATTAAAAAAAAAATAAGGACATGAAATTGTTTTCAAAACTTCTTTTTCTTTTCGTAAAATTATACATGGTTCTGATATATTTGTTTTGAAACTTATAATATTGTGCATTGTCTTTTTATGCAATGAAAAATCTTTTAAAGACCTTGTTGGAATTTTTCACGAATTGCACTCTCGCTGAAATACAATCGTTCTCTCAAAAATCAAACACAAACCAAAAGAAAACAAAAGCGAGACTTTAGAAGTTTTCTGAATGATTACGAGTACTTATCGGTGAGTCATGGACTCATAATCTCCACTATATCATCGAGAGATTCACCATACAAGAAAAATAATAATCTAGAAGAAGAAGAGAGGTAACACACATTGAGTCAAGATATTTTTGTATCTTTATTACCACAAGACCCAGATGGATAATAGCTAAAAACATATGTCCATTGTATCTTAGTCACTAAACATCAGTCCATTCCTATAACCAAACTCACACACCAACATCGGAAAATGGTCATTTAAATTTTCTCTAGTTTTTTTATGATAATTAATTACCCAACTATTGAGTACGCAGTTTAAATCCTCGAATTGATGTTGACTATGCAAAATAAGTGATACCGGGTTACCGGTTTAATGATAAATCATGACTTTCGACCAAAAAAAAAAATCAACATTAATAGGAAAACGCAGATGTTAACAATAATCTCTTTTTAACCCCAATTTCGCAAAGTTAACACATATTTGAGGAATTAATTTACAAACTGGAATATTAATCTCGGAAATTGCTAAATTTAAGGACTTAAATGATTATTGTTCTTTCTTGGAGAATTAAATCATCATTTCTTTATATCACGAAAATGATCATTTCTAAAATAACATCAAATACTTTTGAATACAGTATCATTTTGGTATATTATGTATATCCAAATTGTGATATGTTTATATAGAAATTGGTGTTTATATTAAAATATAGATATTTAGATAAACCTTAAACCATCTTTTAGCTTAGATGAATCTTTTAGTGCCACGTGTAACAACTTTAGGTGAATCTCTTAACGCCATTTGTTTAAATAATCTTTTAGAGTGATCCTGAAAGTATTTCAGCTTGATTTACAATGGTTTAAGTAACTTGATAGGTTAGGCCACATGTCTTCATCCTTTGTCCTGATCAAAGTGGCCTCACGGTTAGGTCAAACCGGATGAGAGGCCGAGTGGTCAGACATGCAAGAGATACGGGAAGGAGACACACAATCTAGATTTTTGTTTCAAAAAATCAAGCAAGGTATGATCAGTAGCTTTCGATAGCACAAAACAAACTTTCAAATATATTCAAATTGTCTTAGGTTAAACAATCACACAATCTAGATTTTTGTTTCAAAAAATCAAGCAAGGTATGATTAGTAGCTTTCGATAGCACAAAACAAACTTTCAAATATATTCAAATTGTCCTAAGTTAAACAATTAATATTATCTACATTGCGTATGTGATAAGTGATACTTACTCCATGGAACAATTAAAAACAAACAAAGGTGGTTCCAAGGGTCCCCATGTAGCATGATCCGCTGCAGCATCCATTACATTTCGTACGATTATGTTGTCCTGAATCTATATACTAATTCGTTGGCACGTAAAGATTAGGGTGTTGTGAGAGTCGAAACTAGCACAATTAGATTTGTAAGGGTTTCGTGAGGAAATTGAGATTTCTAGGTTAAGATACGAAAGAAACGATGAGCAAAGAGAAACGTTTGTTATTGCTGTATATGTTTTTGTGAATAAAATTGCGGATCTCTTTTACAAAGGTTGTACATTGATATATATAGCTCCCTAAGTCGGCTCGGTTTTTCCGTAAAAGATAATGCTAACTTTTCTAAGTCTTCGCATATTCCCTTTTCTTTATGTCAGTTGCGTCGAAGTGGACTTCGTAATTGGATTGGGCTTTAACACAGGAACCTTCTGGTCTTTGTCCCTACTCTGGCAGGTCTTTGGTGGTCAGTGTCATTGCTGGCACTGTGACATCCCTGGCACTGTGACATCGCTGGCAGTCTGACATCGCTGGCACTATGACATCGCTGGCACTGTGACATCGTTGGCACTGTGACATCGCTGGCAGTGTGACATCATTGGCATTGCATTTATGACTTCTGCTACGAGTAGAGAGGACTCAGAAGGCTCACTTCTTGGACGGAGAAGACTTAGGAAAGGAGAAAGACTTCATCTTCTTGTTAAGAAATTACTTGGGAGAATCATATAATATATGTACGTTAATACGATTCCGTGTCTATGCACTGTGCTTGCATAACTTTGGACTTCAACGTTGAGCGGGTGAAATCCGACCCCAACTGGTGTTAAGTTAAAATCACCTGATTGCTTCATACAAGTATAAACCAACGAATCCGGATTAGACCCATCTCGATTTAGGATGTGTAAATCAGTATTCTCACACAAGTAGGTGATATACAACATATTTTACCGGTTTTACTATATTTTTAATAGGTTTTTAATAAATAAACTACTTGGTTTTGAAGTTTTAATGGTATTTCTAGTATTTTGTAATTTATAGAGTCTTTAAAACAAATTGGAGCAACCTGGGCAAAAAAGATGAAAAACAAGTATTTTAGAGGTTGGACATATCATGAGCGTCAAATGCTTTGCATCGTATATATTTTAGATTTTAGCCGATCCATTCTCTTATACATACTGAAACAAAACCGCATTAACGAACTTTCAGTTAAATTTGGCTTGGAAATTTGATTCAGCTAGTTTACCGAAACCTACTTATATGATGTGCATTGATTTTGTATGCATCGATGCGCTTCCATCTCTAAATATACTATAATTGATTTCTTGATTTGAAGATGAGATTGGTTTCGAGATTTAAGGCCTTGAATGGGAACCAGTGTGGGGGCGGATAAAACCATAAAGTGTGACAAATTATAGAATGTTTTTTTTTGTCAATCCATATCTTATATATGGTTAATAAAGTTCTACAAAAGTAGATAAAGCAGATTTTGCAAGGGAATCAGCTACAAAGTTGGTTGTCCTTGGGATATGTTTAAATGAGATTGAAACAAATCTTTAAGAGAAGGTCACAATATCTTGGAGGATAACATGAAGTTTGGAAACTTTAGAGCCTGTCGAAATAGCTCGTCATTTGTAAGGAGTCAGATTCTATCGAGATAGTCCTTATGTTATCTTCTGCGGCTCTTGTCAGGGCAGAGCGGATGGCCAAACTTTCAGCCATCAGAGGAGAACACACATGTGTCTCGGTCATTGAGAAGTGTTGCTGTGCTTGGTTCCCTTTGTGGAAAAACCAACCCAGTCCAGCCACAAGAAGATCTTCTCTTCAAGCCGCATCTGCTTGACATACAACTTTCACTGGGTGATTTACTCGGGGGCAGCCACCAAAACTAAAGGTGTTTAGGGTTTATGTTGTTGATTCTCTTGCCATTCTCTAGCATCTCAGATTGACTTAGATACGATTTCCAAAGTAAGGGATCCTTTCTTATTGAAGATTAGATCAGTCTTCGACTTCCACATATTCCAACAAATCTAGGGTGTTAATGGCACTGCTCCTAATCCAGATGGCGGTAAGCAAACTCTAGTTTTGACATCCTTCCACATTTCCTCAAAGGAGAGTTGGGGTTGCGGAAAGAAGGGGGTGGAGAACGGTGTTGCCAACTTATTGAGCAAAAATCAGGTAAACAAGAGATGGGTAAGGGATTCTGACTCACCACAACGAGGGCATGGAGGGTTTACATCTGGTATTGTCTCAGCTAGCCTTTCACCCACTGGGAGGGCACCCCTGGCTGCCCGCCAGAGAAAGCTTTTGACTTTAGGAGCCGTATGGAGTGACCATACATCAGGGTACCAGTCCAGGGAGCTGCTGGTATGGCCATGATTCAATCTCTCATGTGCTGCAAAATAACCAGATTTAGTTTTATAGTCCCCAGACTTATCCTTTAGCCATATTCTTCTATCCTCCAGGCCAAGGCAGCTTGGTTTTATGCCAAGTATCTTTGTTTCAAGCTGAGGGAATAGCCTCTAGATCACCGATTTATTCCATTCAATTGTTTCCGCATCTAGTAGATCTGCCACCACCAGACCTACGTCCTCCAATAAACATGGGCCTATAGATCCTACTTACTTGAAGTAGACATCCATTTATCCTCCCAAACTCTTACCGACTTTCCATTGCCAATTGCCCATCCTAAATGCTTGGCCAATAGGTATCTACCAATCAG